AATTGCGAGGAAAGGGCTCCTTGACAGGGCTTGGAGCAACCTCGTCCAGTGGAAGGTGTCCCTGCAGAGGGATGGCACTGGATGATCTTTAAACATCCCTCCAACCCAAGCCTTTCTAGAATTCTGTGATCTCCAGCTGGAGTCTTCTCCATGTCTGCTGCAGCTGTGGGACTGCTCCATTGGAACTGGACATTCCCAGCACGTGGAGCTGGACATTCCCAGAATGTGGAACTGGACATTCCCAGCACGTGGAGCAGGACATTCCCAGCACATGGCCTCAGCACCAGGCAGGGCTACAAGCCAGCTGAGTTTGAGTCTGAGTCGCAGCCCCAGGCGTTTGTCGTGCTCCTCCTCCTCCTCCTCCTCCTCCAGGTGGAGTCAGGGCTGCTTCCCGTGGGAGCCCTGGCTGCTCTCTCCCAGGTGTTGTGCAAGTGTCAGGATGCCAAGCCCACGGCGCTCTCTGGATCCAAGCCGTGCCAGGCTCAGCTGCGTGGGCTGTGCCAGGAGCCCTCATTGCCACAGTCATGATCTGGAGATAGTGAAAAACAAAAGCTTTCACCACCCAGGGAGGGAGGTGAAGGAATTGCTCACAGCAGGCCTTTGGAGAAGCCTGGGCCGTTCTCTCCCTGCCTCTGCATACCAGGCTGGCTTCCCAGAAGGAATTCCAGGATGTTTGAGCCCCCAAATCACAGTGTGTTTTTGTTATTTGTGTTTTGTTATTTGTGTTTTTGTTTTCCTGGCAAAGTATGGAAGAGTGAATATGCCACCAGCCACCAGCGACTGTAACAGAAGTGCCCATTTCATCCCTGAAGCACTGACATTATCAGCACATTTAGATAAGATTTGATTCAATAAGAATGAAAGTTTGGTCGTTGACCCACGTGGTTCTGTGTGCACCGTTTTCCATAAGTGTTCACTTTGAAACCTGATGTTTTCCTCTGTTTTTCCTCTCTCAGGGAGTCAATCTGGCAGCTGCCAAGGAGCAGGGACAGCTTGTCTTCCTGGAGGGCCTCCAGTCCTGCCTTGACCTCCTGTTTGGGGAGGAGGAGCAGCCAGGACAGCCCAATCCTCTGCAGTTTGTGAGGTGAGCTCGAGCATGGAGTGTTCCCCTCACATCTGCTGCCCCAAGAGCACCACCCGAGGCTCCTGCTGCCCTCTGTGCTCCCCTCCAAGGCCCAAGGGCTCAGCTGGACACCAAGTGAAGGGAAATGCCAGCATTGTGCACATCTCTCTTAAGTGTCCTGGCCTGTCCCTCGCTGCTGCTCAGGGGGGAATCCTGTCCCCCTTTCCAGAATTTCAGGGGAACTTCGCCATCCTCATTGCCAAGCATGTCACAGGTCTAGAAGAGCATTCATTTCAGCACTCCACACATTTGTGTCAAACAAAACCCCAGCTAAGTGGTTTTATTCCCTTTTTGATATTTTTTGAGTTTTATTATTTTCTAAGAGAACAGTACTGCTTTATCTGTGCTGGCTTTTGGGTTTATTCTCACATCATTTTCTCCATGTTCTCTGGGAAGCTCAGCAGAGGCCAAACACTTCCCCAGCAGTGTCCAGGGCCAGGTTGGACAGGGCTTGGAACAGCCTGGGATAGTGGAAGGCGTCCATGCCATGGCAGAGAGGTGGCACTGGATGGGCTTTGAGTTTCCTTCCCACCCAAACCATTCCACAACCCCTGGAGCAGGGCAGGAGGGTTTCACACACGCAGGTATAAAGGAGCAGGGGCTGAAGGGCAGTGAGGTGCTGACTGTCACAGCAGTGGGGACAGCGGGGAGGGACAGGCCGGTGATCCCCACTCTGGGTCAGTGGGTGAGGAGGGGGACACGCAGTGCCAGTCGCTGACACCTCCTTCGTGTGTTCCAGCAGGAGCACCCCTGAGCTGCGAGCCCTGTTTGACTTTGTGCGGGTGTCCCTGAGTGCTGCTGATTCCTGGAAAGGCCCCGTGCTGCTGGTGGATGACCTCAGTGTCCTGCTGAGCCTGGGGGCTGCACCCGTGGCCGTGCTGGACTTCATCCACTACTGCCGAGTGTACGTGTGCTGCCAGCTGAAGGTACTGCTCCCCGGGCTCTGGCTGTGCACAGAGCCTCCAGCACAGCCTGCCTTCATTTCTCTTCCCCTCTCACCATGCTGAGGTGTTTGAAAGGCTGTGGCTGTCCATGGCTCTGGGGTGTGGGTCCCTGAGTACCTGTGCAGGCTCCTGTTCAGCTGGATTCCTGTGAGATGCTGCCCAGAGAAGGGTTCTGTGCTTCTCTGATGTATGAACGGGGATTTGAGATGTAAAACGGTGGGTTTTGGAGCTCCTGGCTCTGCAAAGATCCTGACTCACAGCCCTGTGTGGGAAGGCAGGGGTGGAAGGGGGTCGTGTGAGGGGCTGGTGAGTCTCACAGGGGACAGAAGTGAAGGGCCCTTCAGGGGCACACCAGCCCCTCCTCCCACACCCTCCAGCGTGGCTGTTCTCCAAGGTGGGGTGATGGCCTACAGAGATCTGCCAGCGAGGTGGGGACTCCTGAGAGCAGCACAGCCAGAAGTGCTCGCAGTCACATCCAAACTGCCATCACAGGCAGCGTTCCCCCCCTGGGCTCTTCCCTGCAGGAGTGAGGAATGAGCCAATGGTGTCAGCTGTTGTCACCCTGCAGCCCTGCACTTCACACGGCGTGGGGTGTTGGGCTGTACGTGCTGACAGGGGATGATCTGCTTGCAGAGAATATTTACCTCCAAAGAGCTAAAAAAGATGATAAACCACGCTAACACTGTGCTATTTCTGTCTGAGGTGTTCTGAAGCTTTCAAGTACATTTTAATTGATTGAAAATTTGTGTTAAGTCACTGGTGACTTGCATGGGCTGAGGCAGTCTCTTGAGGTGGATGTTAATAGAGTCGGTGTGTTGGGGAGGTGTTTGCTCCCTGTCAGAGCTGTGAGGGTGTGAGCATTGCTGCAGCCCTTTGGCCACCTCTTTATTTACCTGCTCTGAATTCAGTTAGTGCCATCTGCCCAGCCTGACAGACTGGTTCAGCCGCTGTCTCCTCACAAAGGCCAGAGGTATTTTTAGACCTCATGCTACATGTATGTGCATGTACACAACGTGCAGTGAGCTCTTCAGTGTTTGTATGTCATAAAATAGCCTGTGTTGGAAGGGACCATAAAGATCATGTGTGCTGTGGGCAGGGACATCTCTGGTTTGGGCCCAAAGCTGGAGGCAGCTCTGTGAGGGGGTCTCATCTGAGTGGGGCAGAATTCCCCCTCCTCTGCTGCCCACACTGGGGATTAACCAGGGTATGGGGGGTTTCTGGCTGGGCATGTCCAACCTCTCCACTAGCAGCTGCTGGATATTTTCCCAGTGGAATTCAGACCAAGCTGGAGCTTAGATGAGGTGTTTGTGAAAGCTCCTGTTGCCACCCCCCTCCATCCTTCCCCTAAAGGATTAGACCCAGCCGGGGGCTCATCCCTGCCTGCTGCTCCCGTTCCAGGGGAACGTCGTGGTGCTGGTTCACAGCAACGAGGATTCAGAAGATGAGGAGAATGAACTGGTTGTGAACTCCCTGTGTCATCACAGCGACCTCATCCTGTGGGCAGAGGGGCTGGCCACCGGCTTCTGCAAGGATGTTCACGGGCAGGTGAGGCACAGCAGAGCGTGGCCAGGTGGCACGTGTCCCTGCCACCTACAACACTGCAGGCCCCGGGCTTGTGGGAGACAGCCCAGGCTGCAGTGTGCTTAAGGACTAATCCCGTGGGCACCAGGGTGTGCTGGAGCACCCCGCTGTCGCTCTGCTTCTGTGGGGATATTCAGGGACATCCTACCACCTGGGACTCCCCACCTGTGGAAGCTTTCCAGGGTTTATACAGCAGTGCAGGCTTCTCCCACCCCAGGGTGAGGGAAAACTTTCCTGGGATGTTTCCCCAAACGGTGCATCTGAGCCTGTGGTGATCTCTGCAGGGCCGGGAGGGTGCTGATGCTTGTGTGATCCCTCATCAGGGGCTGCCACCAAGAGCTCAGGGACAGGGAGTTGCCAACGCATTATTTATCAGTGCCATCCCTTCCCTGCAGACCAGCCAGAGGCATGGGGGACAAGGATGCTCTGGGCAGCCACGGGGACAGTGTTCCTATTCCTTTCCCTTTGCAGATTAAGATAATCAAGAGATTGTCCTTGCGGCAGGCGGCAGAGCAGGATCTGGTGCAGACCTACCAGTACAAGATCCAGGACAGGAACGTCTCCTTTTTCGCGCCGGGGCTGTCGGCTGCGGTCCTGTGACACTGTGACCGTGCGAACCCCGGAAGGGCAAGCCCCGCCCCCGCAAAAGCACCACCAGCACCTCTCAGGAGCAGCACAGCAAACTGACCCTGGAGGGACGCTCAGACACACCTGGAAGTGCTGCCAGCGTGGGATCAGCCTGCCTGGGCCCTGCTGCATCCCTTTGTTCTCCCACCCCATTCCCAACACGCTCAGGCCAAGGAAGGGAGCAAGAACTTGCAAGAATGGCCCTTAGAGCATGTAAATACAGGCAGGGGTGCCCTGCAGGCTGGGTGTGCCTCGCCTCACCTTTTCCGGTGGTTGGGCACAGCATGGCAGTGCCAGGCACTGCAGGAAGGGAGCACCCCCTCCCTGCCGCTGGCACGGGAGGAGATGACACAGAGCGGGTGGAGCAGGGACGGTCCGGGAGCCTGGCGCAATCCTCTCCTCGCTCCCAGCTCTGGCTGGCAAAGATCTGCCCAGCTCCCACGCAGGTGGTAAATCCACAGCTCCGTGTATAGCCCTCACCTGGCTGTGCTGGGACCTGGGTGCTGCTCTGCTTTATCCCCTGTGGCTTCCCAAGGTGGGCCTTGTGGTTGGATAAACCCCTCTGGGAGCCTTGTCTCAGCCACTGCTTCCTCATCCCAAACCCTGACTAGCAATTACATGACCTGCCTGTGCTGAAGCGGGTTTTTTATTAATAATCCACAATTTTAGTGAGATAAGGGTACAGGGATTGAGTAACCACGGATCTCTGGGTGGGAACTGCTCCCCACCTGATCCTTGGCAGGGAGCAGGAATGGGCATCTCCCAAGGCTGGATGAGGACAGGGCCTTCCCCATGGCCACGGGGGCAATCCTGGGAGCAGAGCTCTGGCTTGGAGGTCTCCTGGTAGCTTCTCCTGCTGGGATATCGCATTTATCCTGGGAGATCAAAACATCCCACACACTTGTGAGAGTCCAGAGCAGCCTGCCAGGTCCTTGCAGCTCCAGAGCTGGGATAGCAACTCTGGCAGTGGGACACATTCCTGATTTTCCACTTAGACTCAGTGACCCATCCCATGCTGGTTTGGGAAAGTGCCCTTTGCCTTAGAGTTTTGGGAGCCATGGCAAGCTCAGGGCTGTGGCTGCTGAGCTAGGCAGGCTCCAGGAGTTGTGGCAAAGCCACATGCAGGGAGGGGAGCCAGGCCGTGTGTGTGCTACGGGATCACTCGTCCCTGGTGTCCCCGGGGCTCTCCGTGCTCTGCTGTGGCAGTGCCCAGTGCCACTGCTGCTGTCCCAGCGTGCTGGCAGTGCCCAGGGGGCAGTGCACTGCCACAGTCTGCAAAGGGAGGATGAGAGGAGCGGTAGCAGCAGCTCAAAGTGCATCTGTGACGGGCACAGAATGGTGTGTAATTGGGGTAACATCTGTATGGTTATCCTTGGAGAGATCCCAAAGCCTGGCTCCCAGGCTCTGCCTCCCTCTTTTGAAACCAGCAGGGTCATCGTGTGACATCATGGCTGTGTGACATCATGGCTGTGTGGCATCATCGCTGCTGGCTTCTGCCTGCTTCTTCTGCCCTTAACCGGTGCCTGTATCCAGGAAACGGGCTGAGGAGCCTCGGAGCCTCGGCCGGACCCGCCACATCCCCGTGCAGGGGGTGTTCCTGGCATCCGAGCCCTTTGGGACGAGCCTCTGCCTGCGCTGTGCAGCGCTGCGAGCTCGGACAGGGCCCTGAGACCTGCGGGGGCTGCCGAGTCGAGGCCCAGAGCCAGCCCAGCCCAGCGTCCTGCTGTGGCCTTGGCCGTCGGGACACGACGGGGCGGCTGCCCGGAGCCGAGGCCACCGGCACGGCCGTGACCCAGCCGGGGCCTCGCTGTGGGGCTGGCGCTGCGGGGACTGGATGTCAGGAATGGTGCCATCGGTGGCAGCACGGGGTGGCCTTGCCCGGGGTCAGCCGCCAGCTGCGTGCTCAGGGCCGGGTTTGTTGGTGTGCCAGCCCGAGCTTGGGCAACGCTGAGAAACCGGGTGGGACTTGGCCCGAGGGCTCAGCTCGGAGGGACCTGCAAGCAGGGGAGGCCCCACCGAGGCTGGGGCTGGCGGTCAGGGGTGCAGGGCCCTGCGAGAAGGGGATGTGTTATATTGGGAAAGCGGCAGGCAGCAGGGACTGCTGCTCTGACAGCTGCCAGAAGGGCTCTGGAAAGGCTCGGCCCACGGAGATGAAGGAGCAGGGCATGTGTTTTGCAGCATCCCACGCCATGCTGGCAGGAGAGCAGGGGCATGTCTGGGGAGAAAGAAGGAGCCCCTGGCCTTTGGGCACTGCTTGCCCCTTGCCAGTGCCTGGCCCACTTCTGTTCCCGGGAACCAGTCACCTCTGCCCCCTACACCGAGCCAGGGCTCCCGCTGCGAGGTCCTCCCTCCCGATGTGCTCTGCCCCGGGATGCTCCAGGGCTCCTCATGCCCAATCCCCGCCATCAGCTCCTCCGGCCCCTCCCGGGATACTCGGGACTGCCAGCGCCGGACTCGCACATTCCCGCCATGCGCGGGTGCACGGGCCGGCTCCGCTCTCCCGCCGCACCGCGGCGCGGCCGGTGCCCGGCCCTGCTCGCACGGCGGCGCCCGCCGCGGGGCCCGGTGCCGGCGCCGCCGCGGGGCCCGGTGCCGGCGGGGCCCGGTCCCGGCGCCGCCGCGGGGCCCGGTGCCGGTGCTGCCTTGGCCGCCGGGTCCCGCCGCCGCCGCGGGCCCGGTCCCCGCTCCACGTGCTCCCGCCGCCTCCGCGCCGCTTCCGGGGGCGTGGCCGATGTGGGGGAGGAGGCGTGGTTACAGGCGTGATTATGCAAATAAAGACGCGCCTCGCGCCGCGTGGGCGTGGCCATGCAAATAGCGCCCATATTGGGGACTCACTGCGCTCTTGGGGGCGTGGCCGGCGGGGCGTGGGCGTGGCCGCGCCGACGGCGGGGGGCGTGGCCGGCGTGCGGCGCTGCGCGCGCGCGGTCGGGGCCCGGCGGCGGCGGCGGCGGCGGCGGCGGCGGGGGGAGGGCGAGGGCGGGAGGGGGTGGGAGGAACCGGGCCGGGAACGGGCGGAAGAGCTCGGCATTAACGCGGGTCCGGAGCTACGAGACCCCACGGCACCCTAACTAAACAAAACCAGGCCGAGGAGACCCTCCAACCGCGAAGCGCGGGAGCCGCGGCTGCTGGGAGGTCAAAGGGCGGAGGTGAGGAAGGAGCCGCTTCCCGGTGAGGCGAGACGGGGCCGGGGCGGGCGGCGGCCGCGCGGTCGGTATGGAAATAACCCCTCACCGCCCGTTCCGTGCCTCAGTTTCCCCGCGCGGCGGGGCCCGGGCCTGCCGGCCCGCAGCCCCGCTGCGTCTGGGGGATGTGTTCAGGGGAACGGGGCAGCGGCGCCGTTTGTCCCGCGGGTTCTGCCGCGGCTCCCCGGATAACCCATGCCTGGCTCTGGAGCCGGGCCGGTGCTCCCAATCCAGAGATGGAGAGGGGATCGCCGCTGCTGCAGGATGGGCAGAGAGCGTTTTAGGGGAAAGGAGGAGCCCGGTGGAGCGGGGGACGGGAGGGGAACGCTGCCGGGGTTTGTGCAGCTCCCCGAGCCGCAGAACCAGGCGGATCTGCTGCCCTGCCTCTCCCGGGACCTGGCTCCGTGCTCTCTGCGCTTATCTTGCCCCCTGAGTCTTGCTGAACTTGGGGATTTGGTCAAAATTTAGGAGTCGCCTTCCTCACGGGAGTCAGGATGAACATCTTTACATTATCTTTGCTATAACGAGCGAGGAGCTTTTGGAATGCTGAGGCAGTGGTGGGGCTGTGTTTGGGAGGAAAGGGCTCCGGAAAGATTTTGGCCTTAGTGCCAGAATTTCCTGAATGCAGCATCCACGTGTTTTTCCGGGTTGTTGAAAGGCAAACCAAGTTTCTTTTCATTCAAAGGGCAGAGATGAGGCGTGAGCTCCCTCTCTGTGAAACCAGAGCTGTGAGGGCAGCACGAGGGTGGTGAATTTGGGATTACTCGAGCTGTTGTGTAATGCAGAAAGGAGATTAGCTGGCTGGGATTGGGAAGAGAGAACACCCCGGGATGTTCCCTGAACGTGTGCCACAGCTCCGTGTTTCCAGGTACAACTTGACATAGTTTATTTTTCCGATCACGATTCAAATATAGCATCCCAAAAGAGCCACGAACAATCAGGGTTTGTCTCAGAGGCATTCAAATAGTATTTTAAGTGTCAGAATCCTATGATGAATGAATTAGTCAGGATCTCACCGAGTTACTCAACACTGTTTTCAGTCAGGGGGTTGCTGGGCCTGTCTGGCGTCAGAGCTTGGATCATTATGCACCAAAAACTCCTTTTTTCCCCCCTCTCTGATGAGAATTGAGAAAGTAGAACAGGTACAACTTGAGGAACAAAAATAGCATTACCCGCCTGCAGTGGAATGTAGTCGGTGAGGAGCAGCAGCACAGCACTTCCAGCAGCTCCTGAGTCCTGGGAATCCTTTCCAGGCCAGGCCTTCCCCTCTCCCAGGAGACTCCAGGAGCTCTGGGGGAGGTGTGGGCACAGTCCCTGTGCTGGGAGCACGGAGGGCTCCAGAGACTGGAAGGAGGTGTGGAAGCAGCTTTCCTTGCCTCTAATATCTGTGATTATAATTCCTTTGAATGCCTTTCCCCACCTTGTGCAGCGCATTAAAGGGTGAGAAAGGAAAGCTGAAGGAGCACTGAGCAGCTCTGTGGTGGTGCAGCTGCTGTTCCCACGTCTGGGAGTGCTGCTGCTCACATCCAAGGTACCCAGGACAGGGAGGAACAGGGGCCTGAGGGTGGCTGTCTTGGAGGGAATCTTTTAATTCACGTCCTCAGGTGAAGACCCAGCCCCAAAGGCTCAGAACAGCCTTGGCTTTTTGGCATAACTGGGAAAAAGTAAAGTTCCCCTCCCAGGAAAAGAGTGGTTTCAGCTGGAGTGAGAGCGTGGTGGGCAGTGGAGAGGGGAGCAGGATTGCAGTTCTTAAATCTGAATGAATCCTGTGTGGAGCATTGTGATAAAGGAATAATAGTTGGTTTGTTTACAGAGGACAATGTCCCAGTCAGGATTGGGGACTTGCTGCCTCACAGAGGGGTTTTGGGATGGTTCCTCCATCTGGAAGAAAGAGTGCAGTGATTTCCTGAGCCTGCTGATGGTTAGAAAGGAAAACGTTGAGTTGTGCGTGGTGCTCTGAGGTGTCCCTGGCAGTTGGTGTGTTCAGCCTTGCCCGGTGTGACCCAGAACCTGTGGAAAGCCAATCCAGGCAGGTGTGTCACCTTACAGGTGCTGTGTCCCTCTGGGAGCCCCTGAGATGTGGCAGTGCAGACTCCTGAGCCACGGAAGCTGTCCTGAGCAAAGCTCTGGGGTTAATTCCAAGGGAACCACGCAGGGGAATTTTTGCTTTTTGTTTCTTGGACTGATGGTCAGAACCGTGGGCTTTGTCTCCCTTTTGCCATCCTGCACATGGTGCCTGTCAGGGCATCCCTGTGAGTGCACGAGTGACACCAGAGCTTCCAGAATTCTGGAGCCTGGGGTGGAGGCACGGCTGAAGCTCTGGCTGGCTCTGTGTGGAAGGGAGAACGTGTTCCCTAGAGAGCCAAGGGCACGCTCCTGGTCCCCTGCCAAACCCACAGGTTGTGCAAAGCTTCACAGGAGCCCCTGGTGCTGCACCCCGGCCCTCCCTCCGGAATGGGAGCACCCTTGGGTGATGTTTCCACAAGGTGTTTTTCAGGGAAATGATAGTGCCTAACGGATAAACTCTGTCTGACCGAGCTCTAATTGCAGGAAATCAGGAAACTCCTGCCACTCAGAGCTGGAGTGGGTGTTCGTGGTGCTCACAAGAGATTTCTGAGGGGTTTTTGGAGGGATTTTCTCCTAAGAGGCAGAAGGGCCCCATCTGGGCTATGGGTCTGGAAAATGCAGAATTCTGGATTTACAGGGTTCACAGGGATGTGCTTTACCTGGGGAGGGTTTTGGGAAGCTGCTGTCTGCTCCTGGGGCTGCAGCAGGGCTGGGAAAGGAGCTCCAGTTCCTTCCATGGGCAATGTTTGCCCACCCTGGGCACTCCTGAAGGTGTTACTGCCCTCTTTAAGTGTCCCTGCCCATCAAACTGTGGGGTAAAGCATGGAAGCATCTGTCATGGCACATCCCTTAAAAGGAGTTGCAGAGAAGGTGCAGTTCAGTTATTCAGACATGAATTTGAATTTTAGATTTATCTGTTTCAAAAACAAACACCAAACCGTACAGCCAGAATGTGTTTGCCTGCATTAAACAGGCTGGTTTGGGTTTTATTTCCTAATATTGGTCATTAACCACCAATGCTGATTTCTGCTCTGAAGGAGAGTTTTGAGCCAGGAAATGTGTCCTCTGTCCTAGAGAAAGAAGCAGGGGAGGAGCTGTGCTCAGTTCAGATCCTGGTTTGCTGAGGTGGAAGGTAGTGGAGATTCACTCTTTTCCTCAGTTGAGTTCCTCGGGATGGTCCAGGCAAACTCTGCCTCACAAAAGCAGAGCTGGAGCTGGGCAGAAGTCCTTGAAATGCTGATTTATGTTGCTTTCAGCACTCCTGCACTCAGGGTGATTCAAACCCAGAGGTGTTCCTGTTCCTCCTTTGAAGAGCACAAGGGGAGGATGAAGATAAAAATCAAACCTGACTGTCAGAGGGCACACGGAGGGACACACAATTATTCTGGGAATGTCCTCGTGGCAAGAAGGTGGTAAAAGAAAGAACAGAGAGGTAAACTTGATGTCTGGCATCCCCAAAACTGGAGTGTTCTGCACCTTTTGACTCTTGGTGAGCAACTGGTGGTAGTGGCAGGCTACAAAAAGGAAGAGCAGCTTTGCAAGCTGTCATTTCAGGGAGGTATTTCTGTCTGTGTGCTCAAAGCAGGGACTAAAAAAGACCTGAGAAGCTTTAGGAGGCATCTTTGGAGACATGGGAAGTCAGTGATGTTTTTAAAGGCTGGAGGAGAGCGGGCAGTTGGTGTGGGTGGGAGTGGGACAAGGAGAATGGGGAGTAGCAGTCATCCCAAAATCCTGCAGCGGGTGGGAAAAGCACCTGGCAGGGGACAGGAGTGCAGAATAGCTGGTGCTGCTTTGCCACAGCTTCTCCTTGGCAAGGTGAGTTTGCTCTTTCCAGGATAAGATACCAGGGCTGTTTCTGGCTGCAGGAAAGCAGCTGTGGCCATGAATCCTCTAAGGTTTGATTTTTATCCCAAATTAGAGTCTTGAGTAGGTGCAGTTAAAGCAAACCCAAACCTAAGAAGGTGCCAGTCTATGGTGGATAAAACAGTGGTTAAATAAATGTATTCAGAGTGGCAGTAACAGCCTTGTTAATGGGTCTGGGTGTTCTGGGGGGCACTGGGGGCTCGGGGGTCTCACTCATCACTGAAGGGACAAAACAGACCGTGCACATTCAATTTGTACATGGCATAAAGCAGGCAAGGGCTGCACGTGTGCCTCAGGAGTGAGAAATGAGCAATTAAACATGGCCTGCAAATGGGCTGGTGGTGAGGTTGGGATCCAAGCAAAAATAGCCACTGCAGGCATGAGGATAATTGATGAGGTGTAACCCCTAATTAAAAAGAGACTGGTGACCTCCTGTGTGTGTGGGAAGGTGAAAGTTGGAGTGTGGAAATTGGTGGTGGTGGCCTTGGCAGCGCTGTGGGAGCAGTTGGGCTGCCAGGGCTGCTCCAGCCTCACAATTCCATGGCTCCACGTGCCACAGCTGGGGCTGGCTGTGCCCATGGCAGCAGGGAGGAGCCCGGGGAAAAGGTACCAAAAGGTACCAAACCCTCTCTGACACCTCTAGACACTCCTGGCACTGCTTAAGAGCAAACTGGATAAAATCTGCTGGGAATAACTGGAGCAAAACTCGTTATGCTGAGTGAGGGTTGGGTACAGAGCCCCCAGAGTCACTCCAGCTCCGTGTCCTTGCTGTCACTGGGACTGCCACTGCTCCCAGGGGTTCTGTGCAGTGGGAGAAGGGCAGGGCTGTGTCCTTGCTGTCACTGGGACTGTGTCCTTGCTGTCACTGTCACTGCTCCCAGGGGTTCTGAGCAGTGGACAGGAGCAGGGCTGTGTCCTTGCTGTCACTGCTCCCAGGGGTTCTGAGCAGTGGAGAAGGGCAGGGCTGTGTCCTTGCTGTCACTGTCACTGCTCCCAGGGGTTCTGTGCAGTGGACAGGAGCAGGGCTGTGTCCT